GCCCTGACCAAATTCAAATTCTAACCCAGCCGGTGTGGCTCAGTGGTTGAGTGTTGACCTATGAACCAGGAGGTCACAGTTAGATTTCCGGTCAGGGCACATGCCTGCAGTGTGAGCTCGACCCCCAGTGTGGGGTGTGCAGGAGGCAGCCGATCAGTGACTCTCTCTCAATGATATTTCTATCCCTCTCTGCCTCTCTCTTCCTCTGAAATCAATAAAAACATATTTTTTTAAAAAATCTAATGCAGCCCTTCAGTCCATGGGACAACACTCCAACCAACTGAGCCACACTGGCCAGGGCCAGGTGTTGATTCTTGAAACTAGGTGAGGGTTATAGAAGAATTTAGTATTCTGTCTCTCCTACAGTACTTTTCACATTTCCTCATTTTTTTCCTGCTCTCTGAAACCTGCAAGTCACCATCTTTACAAATAATAAATCCCATCAAAATCAAAGGCTGGCGTTATTAGTACTCTGTACCATGAGGAAGGGAGTTCTAGAAAAGAATTATGATTTACGTTTACAGTGGAAGCCCTGGAACCAGTTCTCCGCGGTTACTCAGGGATGACTGTACATTTAAATTCATTCTGCTGCGAAGTACAGTGTAACTTCAAATACAGGATATCCACAAAAATTTTGTTTTATAACAATGTATATTAATGGAACATCTGTGCTATTTATTTAAAAGGAATCCTTTGTGAGAGTGGGACAACAACTGTACCCAATCCGAATTTATGTCGATTCTGATACAAATAAGAGATGCTGCAGATGAAAAGCTGCATCCTCCAACTAGAAAGACTGAAGGCAGCAACATGCAGGAGAAAGTGAGTCATTTCCAGGTTATTTCTTCTGCCATGGCTACAATTTGACAATAAAATTTTAAATGTCTGTCTCTCCCTTCCTCTCTGAAATCAATAAAAATATACATTTTTAAAAATCAATGGAAAAATGACCTCGGGTGAGGATTAACAATAAAATAAAATAACAGATATCGTTTATTTAGGGACTCCTAATGGATAAAAGACTATGCCAGGCATTTGAAATACATTTTCACTCTACCTTACACCAACTGAACTAAGCAGGTATTAATACTCTCACTTCACAGATTAAGGAAACAGTATCAAGAAATTGTTTTAATCGAGGTCAAGAAGCAGGTAAATGAAAAACCAAATTCAAATTCTAACTCCAATTTCCATGCTATTTCTACTATAATTTTAGGTGTCTACTATTTGGCTTCTATGAAACAACAACAACAATAACCAACAACAACACAGATCTCCAAGAAAACTGTCCGATATAATAATAACTACATAAACCCCCCTCTAGAAAAACAGCATTGGATGTTATCTAATTTATATCCACATGCTATAGAAGAGGCCCAAGGAGTCACATCAACATCGAGCAGACCATTTCGAGGTAACAAAACCTCCCGCCTCACCAAGCAGCTAACATGGCACATGAATAAGACAAATAGCTGTGCAAACTGGCAATAAAAGGTGCAATGCATATGATATTTCAAGAAGTTCTCCTCTACCAGGAAGTCCTTTTAAGGGTCCTAAATACTTCTACAGTTACTAGATGTGCAATTTAAAAAGTGACATGTTAAACCTTTGCCTATTATGGCAATCTGGAATGTAATATCATGCTTACAATCACTGATTATATGCAAAAACATGTTACCTGTGACTAACATCTCCAAGCACATGGGGACACAGGTCTCTTAAAGGAAGAAATTCTTGGTCTTCTTGAGGTACTGACGTAACTGGTCAAAAAGTTTAACATGAGCCAAAAGGAGAGTGGGCACTGAGCACCAAGTGACCTTTGCACAGTACTCACCCTCCGGCACATCTACCTGCCCCCGGGCTTTCTCTGTAACACAGACACCAAGAGTTTTAAATGGTCCTCCCGCCCTTTAAGTACTCTAACCCTTCTGAAAGCTTTGCTATTAGGAAAGCCATCACAAACTAAACCTGTCATTAACAATCTGTACAGGGCATTAAATTTTAGAGGGCTGGGCTTTAGACTTTAGCACCTTGTAAAAATGTTGAAATAAAAGCTTATGCATTACAAAACACTTAAGAACGTGTTAAACGCGGACCAAGCACTTTAATTGCCTAAAGACTGACTTGTAGAAACAAGTGCAAAACGTAAGCTATCAGGAAAGACTGTCCACCAGGGGGCAACACACCAGGACTCCAGCACACACCTAACTACTAGCCATCCATTCATCAGGTTTTAACATTTTTTTCTAAGAGATCCTACAGCATTAATATACACTTGCATTTAGCACACTCTATTGGTGATTAAAACTAGAACGCATCTTAAATTTAAGAGTAGGATATCAGTGACAAATGTTTGGGATTCTAAATCCCTTCCGGATAGATTTAGCTGTTAGACAGTACTTAATTACCCCTATGTTTAGAACTTTAGGTATTTTTGAACTTGGGAAGGCTTTAAATATATCAAGTGGGTAACTCAAAAACGAGTTTCAGAATTCTATCTTCACTGTGATACCAGCAGAAAAAATACTGTACATGTAAGAGTCTATCTTTTTGAAAACCATGACAATTATGACACCAAACAAATAGTATCAAAACAATCAACCAGAACCAACCGCACACACATCTTAATATTCTGCAGATAAAGAGAAGCTTTCAGAATCTTAACAGCTCCCATTCATCCAGTAACTGCAAACCACATAACACAGTCCGAAGAGTCAGTGCAGCTATGCATTTAAAGTTACTGCCAGTTATGACAATGGCTAAAAATATGTTAATGCACACATCACTCACATAAATGTGCTTTCTTACTTGAATAAAATTACTGTAAAATGTTCATTTTTCTCTTTCAAAATTGTAAGATAATGCTTTTGTCTCCCTAGCACCTGGGCAAACTAGTTGTCATTAGATAAGTAGCAGGGTTTCAATAGATGAGTTGAAGAAAATAAAATTGCAATAAAGCCATAAGTCACACTGCAAATATCAATAGTTTTTTTAAAATACAATCTCTTGAAGCAGACTTATTATCACTTGGCTATAAGCTAATGTTGAGATTTTTAGTTTTGTTCAAAGTTACTAATAAAGAACTATATTTTCAAAAATCTAAATTCTTAGCATTTTTGTGTTTTTTCATTATTGGAATAACAAGTAATACTATACACACTCAGACTCTGCTGAGACCAATCTCCTGATTTTTCAAAGTTTCAGTGTTTCAAATTTAATCAATAAGTTTTTGTTTTATGTACTGTGCTGTTATTTCATTAAAATATTCATCCAGTTCTCTGATAAATTTAAAAATTTAGGGTGGCAGTAATTAAGCCAAATTAAAAATTACAATAAAACTAGGGAACTAGAATTTTATGTTTGACCAAGGCATTTGGAAGCAGTTTAGTGAAATTTTAACATTGCAAACTGATTACACTATCATAAAATTTAAAAGCTATTCTTAAAAAGGTAAATACTAATACACAAATCTATCGTGACCAAACTAAAATTTGTCAGATCTACATATTTAGACAGTATAAACAGTAATATTTTTTTATATTTTTATTAATTTTTTTACAGAGAGGAAGGGAGAAGGATAGAGAGTTAGAAACATCGATGAGAGAGAAACATCCATCAGCTGCCTCCTGCACACTCCCACTGGGGATGTGCCCGCAACCAAGGTACATGCACTTGACCGAAATCAAACCTGGGACCTTTCAGTCCGCAGGCCGACGCTCTATCCACTGAGCCAAACCGGTCAGGGCAACAGTAATATTTTTAACAAATTTAAACTTGTTTAAAGTTCAAGACATACAACAAATCTTAGATGTAATATGCAGCATTGATTTGCTAGCTGTAATTACATTATGAGATGTTTAGCAACACTTAATTATATAGTTTATGTAAGAGTTACAGTTTAAATGAGTCTATTAATTTAGAATCAGCCAGATTGATGTACACTAAATGTTTTAGACTGCCACCTGGAATTAAAACAAACCAGTATTCTATTTGTTAAAAATTCATTAATGTACACTTCAATTTAAAATATTTATATTTGTTAACAGTATAAAAACTAAAAAAATATTCTTCTTTAAAATCTTGAACTGTTTTCTTTATGCGTGCAAATCAAATTTCAGTGTTTTCCAGAATATTTTTAAATGATTTTTCTGTAAAAATTTTAATTTTAAAAAAAAGCATTACAGCCCTCGCCTGTTTGGCTCAGTGGATAGAGCGTTGGCCTGCAGACTGAAGAGTCTCGAATTCAATTCCAGTCAGAGGCACATGCCTGGGTTGTGGGCTCGATCCCTCGTAGGGATATTTAAAAAAAAAAAAAAAAGCATTACAGATTGCCAGTTATAAAAATAGTCACGGAGGTATAAAGTACAGCATAGGGAATCTATATATATATATATATATATATATATATATATATATATATATATATATATATATATATATAAAAGGCTAATATGCAAAGTGTCCCCTCAGGAGTTCGACCAGGAGTTCGATTGCTTGCTATGACGTGCGCTGACCACCAGGGGGTGGTGCGGAATGAAGGAAGGCCCAGGCCGACAGCCAACAGACAGGGAAGGCAGGCCCCGGCCAGCAGCTGGAAGGCCCAGATCGGCCTTGACTGCCAGCCAGGCCTAGGGACCCTACCCATGCACCAATTTCATGCACCAGGCCTCTAGTATAGTCAATAATATTGTAATAACTATGTATTATGTGAAATGGGTACTAGACTTATCAGGGTGATCACTTTGTAAGGTATGTAAATATTTAATCACTATATTGTACACTTGAAATTATTATAACTTCATGTCAACTATAATTTAAAAATAGTTTTTAAAAAACACTTTAAAATATAAAATAGACGGCATTTTGAGAACCAAAAAAAGCAGTTTAAAAACCCCATTAGAAAAAAGAGAGAGTAGATGCACCACGGCTTCAATAGTGACGGCTTCTCTTGCCAGCCCCTCCCCCAGGAGACTGCTGCAGTCGGCCAGCCCACTGTAACCATGTGCGACCAAAAGGCGGTGATCAAAAATGCCGATATGTTGGAGATGCCACAGGACTCCATGGAATGTGCTACTCAGGCGTTGGAGAAATATAACATAGAAAAGGATATTGAGGCCCATATTAAGAAGGAGTTTAGGGGGGTGGGGGTTAATGGGGGGGATAAGGACACATTAGTGACACCTTAACTAATAAAGAATTAAAAAAAAAAAAGAAGGAGTTTGACAAGAAGTACAACCCCACCGGGCACTGCATGGTGGGGAGGAACTTCGGTAGTTGCGTGACACATGAAACCAAACACTTCATCTACTTCTACCTGGGCCAAGTGGCCATTCTTCTGTTCAAATCTGGTTAACAGCATGGACTGTACTACACACCCAGTGATCCATCCAAAAATAAGGATTGCAGCCTAAATTCCAAATACCAGAGACTGAAATCTTCAGTCTTGCCTAAAGGAACACCTTGATCTTGAATCTTTATTGTGTTGTTTTGTACAGGGTATTCTCTGTACTCATTTATTGTGGTTATAAAACAATTAGCAAAACAGCTTGAAAAAAAAGAAAAAAGAGAGAAACTTAAAATATAAACTACAATAAAGATTTTTAAGCCTTAGCTGGTTCAGTGGATAGAGCATCAGCCTGCAGATTGAAGGGTCCCGGGTTCAACTCCAGTCAAGGGCACATGCCTGGTTTGTGGGCTCGATCCCCAGTAGGGGGTGTGCAGGAGGCAGCCAATCAATGATTCTCTCTCATCATTGATGTTTCTCTCTCTCTCCCTCTCCCTTCCTCTCTGAAATCAATAAAAAAATTTTTTAGAAAAAAATTTTTAAACAATTTTTTAAACACATAAAGTTAGGAGGGGGGCAAACAATAACAGAATTAAATTTAGATTTAGAGCATTGAACTAGTTCCAGTGTAACGTATTATGCACGTGCTATTTAAAAGGACTGCTCTGAAGTTTTCGGAGGTTGGGGGCATTTTTTGTTCTTTTTTAATATTTGGTTAAACACTGTAAAACACACTTCTTTCCATATTGATGATGGGGTAAACCACATGCTGGAGTTTTCAGAAAATTAGAATAATCTGTAACCAGTATTAATAATGAAACCTAGCATATTGTTAATATCCTTTTAATAACAAAGACATTTAAACAAGTTTTAATGTATTACCAATCCAGATATGGGTAAATATACTTTACTCCTAAATCAAGACTCCACTATTTAAATAGCATTGAAATACTGTATTCCCACAATTTCCTCCCCTCCGGCTTCCAAAGCACCTTCAGAACTGCTTTTTAAAACTTCAAAACAGTAAGGGGCATAACTGAGTAAGGAGCATTTTTTCTAAGAAGTGTACATTCCTAGGTGCTTTTATATGTATATAAATCTTCCCCCCCTCCCCCCAAAACACAAGAAACTACACAATAACTGCATTTGGAGAGAAAAAGATCATTTTAATCATTTTTATTTATGGTTTAAATTTTGCTATGTAGCTGCGTATTTTTTTAATCTTCCAACCTTTTTAATTCACAGGGGGGAAAAAAACTAGTTCTGCTTAATTCCTGTGGGTGTTTTGTATACAGTATATTATCTCAAGAAGATAGTTTAAGATTCCATTCGATTTGTGTCAGTGTATACACCACTCAGCAAGAGATGTAAGATCAAACAGACACACTGAAGAAATGGATAACAATGTTCTACTAATTTCACACTTGCTACACTTAGTGCATCAAAATGAAATAGACTGGGGGAAATGCCTAATCGTGAGCTAAAATAAAGTTAGACTGGTATGGAAAATACAGCTTACATACGATTATCAATTAACAGCGATGCACATGCTAGACAACAGTTACTACACATTATCAGGCACAGAGTACAGTACCTGAATTTAAACGCAATGTGTCATATACATGAAGAATGACCTGATTTTCACTAGTTATAAAACATCACCAGAAGTGAGTCAAATAAATTAGATTTGTTGCACTTAGGCAGCTAAAGTCCGTTTCCAAGTGTACAACGCAGTGTAAGCATACAAAGATTTCATCTCGTACTGTGGACATTACAGTATCATAATCATTCTGCCATCTGTGCTGAATCATGCCTACCGCTCACCACTGCCACGCTAGAATGCCTCTCATCTTAACCCTCACTTTGACAGAGCAACAAAATAATAGTAATATGGTACAATCTGTAAAATAAGAATTAGGGAGTCCACATCAACAGAAACAAAATAAACAGCAAAGAGAAAGCTCTTCCTTAGAGTAAAATTCCAACTAATCAATGTAGGAGAAATGACAGAAACAGCAAATCCCCTCTCGCAGCCACTACAGTTTCAGGTAAGAATCAGCGATGAATGTTTGGATTAGTGAAAGTGATGAGAAACTGGAGCTTTACACTGTTTAATGCAAAGGAGAAAACAGGAACTTGACACTTTGGAGGCTGGTAGATACCACTTAACCAACTGACCATCTTAACACCTTCACTATGGAAACAAACCCAACCTCTCTGGCCTCCTGATGTGGTACACGGAGGACACCATCACTTCTGCGGTGTTCCACCAAAAATACATAACCTGATTCTAACCACGGAGAGCCATCAGACCAACTCACGAGAGACATCCTACAAAATAACTGGCTTACACTCCTCAAACTCATGGAGGTCATGAAAGACAAACAAAAGACGAAGGTATTGTCCCAGGTTAAAAGAAACAACACAACTCAATGCATTAGGTATGTTGGATTGGATCCAGGATCAGAAAAAGGACATTAGTGGGACAACAGGCAAAATTTGAATAACATCTATAGATTAAAGCACTAGGATATCAATCAATATCACTGGTTCCCCCTCACCTCTCCTCCATCCCCTTGGCCCCTCCTCCTCTTCCACTTACTGTGTCTTCACTGTCCTTACTGTGTAGTCACTGTCCTATGTCCACATGTCTAACAGGCATCTCAACTCAACCTGGCCAAACTGAATTGTCTTCCCCTCCCCCATATGCTGCTCCCCACAATCTTGCTCATCACAATTAGTTTGCTTCTGTGTATCCATTCGTCACACACACTACCACCATTTCCCCCCACTACCCTGGTGACATCACCACCATCACTGACTTGTGTAATTGTCATTTTCTCCTGACTGGTCTCCCTGATCCCACTCCACTCAACATGGTCTATGCTCAGCGGAGAGTTCCCCAAACTTCAACAGAATTGTCCCAGTACCCAATTCAAGTACAAAGAAGCAGGTAACATTAATATAAAATTTGAGGTATGTTATATTCTCTTTTTGAACTAAGGCTTCATAATCCAGGGTATTTTATACGAACACCACATCCCGATTCGGACCAGCCACATCTCAATTCCTTGACAGCTACAGGTGGCCAGTGGCTGCCCTCATGGACAGCACAGTCCTAGATCCGAAGCTTTATGAGAGCAAGTTCCTGTATTCCCAAGAACTAAAGCAGTACCTTGGCATATAGTAAACACTCAAATTTGCTCAAATTAAAAACTGCTAAGTCCCAAGATCAGCAAAACAATCATTGAAAAAGAAAACATACTAGCAAGCTACCAAGCCTTCTCATGCCAGAAAAAAATATATACAGAATGAAAAAGACGTGGTGAAATAACATGAAAGGAAATTGTCTTATAATTCTTGAAAGAAAAAAATATTGTCTAAGACAAGAAAAGTACCTCCCCTGTGATAGGAACAAAAGTAGTTATTTTCTAAAGTTAACCAACAATTACTAAGAACAAGGAAAGCTGGCTGAAATATAGCAGAGGTAGGACTCCTCACGTGGCCATCCTTACAGACACAATGAGTCACCATAAACAAGCTTCTAGCCTCAAAACATCTAGTTCTCAAGAGAAACTTCAATGATGTCCTGAGATTCTAATTAGATCTCTTACATTTTAGAAATAACAGGAGATGCTGAAGGCTGCTCATTTCCTTAGGCAAGACCTCCAGTTGACATGCACAGTTCACTTTGGTACCCAAATGACCAAACTCACTTCATGTTCCCCATGTGTGTTTAAATGCTCCCTAATTATTAAACATTTTATCTTTCAGACACCTAGATTCTTCCTTTGTGTTTAGTTTCTTTCCTTTTATTTTTTTTCTCTTCCCACATCTGTTTTTCACAAACTGACTTGTGTAAAATTCCCTACGAAGGCTAACATGCCATGAAGCTGCATAAAATCCTCACTTGTTCTTGCCATCTGTTGGGTTATGATGGAAAGACATATTCCCAGGAATACCTAATCCAACTAATTGCAAACACCACATTAGTGTAAAGCAGCAACTGTTGATGCATATAGTATGTGGGCTCCTGCGGGTCCCTGAGACACTTTCCAAGAGGTTTAAGAAGTCCACACGATTTTTATACTCCTAAGTTGTTATTTGCCTTTTCACTGTGTTGGCATTTGCACTGTTGGTATAAAAGCCAATGGTGGGTAAACTGAGGCACCTGAGCATAAATGAATCAAGGCAGTAACACTAAACTGTAGTAGCAGTCACTATATTCTTCACATGCAGTAATATGTAATCCGACTTTCATTTTCAAATGCCCTGGATGAAGCAGGAAAGAGTATTAACTTTTTAAACAGCCCTTGAGCACACACACCTCCTTAAAATCTATGTGAAGAAAAGGGCAGTGTGCAGGAAGCACTTCTGCTACCTATTGTGGCTGTCTGAAGAAAACGCACTGTGCAGCTGTTTGAATTGCAAGATTGGACCCACCCCTTTTTTCATACACAGCACCATTTTCACATGAAAGAGCTAGAGACAGTATGGTTATTTAACCTTGAGTATCTGGTGGACATTTGCTCAAAAGAAAATAAAGTCAGCCAGCCACTTCTAGAAAACCTAACAGTATTTGTTGCCAATGACTAAATTTGAGCTTTTAAGTAAAAACCAGAATTTTGGCAAACTTGTCTACCACCATGAGCTTTGACAGTTTCCCAATACTTACGGATAAAAGAACCATTCAAAGTGCAAGACAGACCAATGGATTTTAATGTAACAGAATACACAAAATCCACTGATATGATTTCAGATTCCACATTTCAAACTAACCCGTTTAAAAACTACCACCTGTCTAGTTTTGGTGTAAAAACAAAGAATATCTACAACTATCTAAGAAGACTATTAAAATAATTCTTTCCCTTTCTAATGATATGCTTTGTGTGAGGCTGGATTTTCTTCACATACTTCAACCAAAACAATGTATCACAACAGACTGAATGCAGAATTGCTTATGAGAATTCAGCTGTCTTTTAGGCCAAACAGTAAAGAAATTTGCAAAAATGTAAAACGATTCCACTTTTCTGATTTTTGTTTTGGCTTTAGAACGGGTGTTTTGTGTTTTCTGTATTTTGTGTTTTTGTTTTTCAAAAATTTTATGTTAGTACTAGCTGGTTTAGCTCAGCAGATAGA